GATAGTTATATGAATAGAACATTTAAATCCCCAAACTTTTTCGAGACCTTAAATCTACCCCTGCCTCATGGTCAAAGTCAAAACCAAACAAAGCAAGCAGGGCAGACCAGTGAGAACTTTGTATACTAACTTAAAAAATTTAATTTAGATTAAAATTAAAAGTTCAAAATATTTATATTACTAAATAACTAATTCTTTAGTTCAGCACATGATAGTCTAATGGTCACCCGCTTGAATGCGTGGATTAGAACATCACATTTTGAGTTTTAACCCGAAACTTACTTTTCCTCCTCAAAACCAATTCCCCAATGTTCAAAAAAAAAAAAAAACTAATTCTCTAATATATGAAAAAAAAAAAGAAAAAAACAAAGCAAGTACAACAAAGTTAATCAAGGTAAAATTCTAACAAATTGCAACTACTTCAAGGTCACCGCTGTTAAAGATTCATTCTTTTGTCCCAATTATAATTAATGATGGAATTTTCAGAAGTTTCAATATGTTCCAATATAATCATTACAAATTAAGAGAAAGAAAAGCGCATTTCTTCTAAATTTTTAATTAGGTAGTAGTATTCATTCTATGAATTAAACCAACACAATGAGAAAGGAAGCAATAATGAAATATTTATTCGTTCCTTGTTTAATACCATGCCATGTACTAGTGCCGCTAAAATTGAACAGAGAAAGAGCCAGCATCTAGCAGCTAGTAGCAAGCAGAAATCAAAGTATATATATATCAAACACCCTAATTTAAGAAGTCTGGAATCTGGGGAGAAAATCAAGAATTGGGGCTTGAGATATTTTATTTTCAGACCAAAACGGCTAAACCTCAGTTTAAGAAAAATTAAAAATCAAATACCACTGGTATCCCCTCTGGGACTATCAAGGTCGTCGCCGAGGACGTGCCCGTACGACGAGTCCAAATCATCCATCACCAGGTCATCGGTGCTCCTCAACGCCTTGTGCAAAACCACCAAACCAACCCTAATCACAGATGCAACCAGAACGTTGACCCACACGCCGGTCAGCACCAGCCCAAACACTGTCACCGCGAAAAGCGCTGCTACAACCACACGGTCAGTGATGATGTAGCCGCAGACCAGGAGTGGCTCCTCGCGAGCCAAGTAGAGGAAGACCCAAGCGATGATGATGACGAGGAAGATGATTAGGGAGAAGGGATGGTAGATTAGGCTGAAGAAGAGGACCAGGAGAAGGAGAAGGATGTAATTGATACGGAAGTGGGTGAGGTTCTGATCACGAAGACAGGGTGGGGGATGGGATTTACCGGGAAGAAATTTAGAGGGAAAAGATTTGGCTTTTTATCAAAACGACATCGTTTATAGCGTCCTGGCTTTTTTCTTCTTTTTTTGCCAGTGAGGCCTGAATTTCTGTTTCTTAATTTAATATTTCGGTCGAAGAATCCCTAAATCATCTTTTCCCACTCCAATGTGAATACCGACTGCCCTTATTCAAGTGATGTACATTTTTTTAAAAAGAAAATCATGCCCTATAGCTCCGTGGTAGAGCGTCAGCCTTGTAAATTGAAGGTCTGTAGTTTGATCCTGCATGGGGCAAACATTTTTCAATCCATTAACATTTCAAAAATATAGAAAATAAATTTAATATTTATTTTGATAACACTCTATATATTTTTAAAAAGGTAAAAAGATATAAGCCTAAAAATTAAAGAACCAAAAAGGGTTGTTAAGCAAAACTTTAGTATTATTTTTTGGCAATGACCTTCCATCGTTTCAATTTCACGCACATTTTTCTTTAATACTTTGCAACTCTGTTTATGGAGCAAATAAAGTTGTTGGATTTTAATGCATGCTATATTTCCCTTTAATTTCCAACTACTGATATATATTATATTTCCTTCATGAGGGATTGTCCCTCAGCTGGTTCCCACTTGCTTGAATGAGACATCAGACATGGAAATGGGGCCTAAGTAACATAACATGGTCATTTTCATATCACATATTGCAGTCAACTTGAGCTTCCCAAAATTACGCTACTATGGTGTGCAACTCCCCCACCATGTGCATTCTAATGGAACCTCAACTTGTAGGCCAACCATGATCCTTAATTACAAGGTGACCGATTTGTTAACTTTGGTGTCTCCAGCTGGGATTTGTGTACCTGCTGAATGAGACATCATTGTTTCCAATCTCCGATTTACAATTCCAGGTAATAATTTTCATGGTAATCATTTGGTTGAATGTAAGAAAAGATCACAGTGTATGTTTATTCGGGGTTCCCAGTAAAGGTTACTGCATATATACAGTCCCCTTTTAACACCAGTCCCCCTCCCTGCTATTCACAAAGATGTCTCTGTGCCTTGGCAATATGGGAGCTGGAATGGAAGCCGAAGGCCCCATAACGAGCTAGCACAGGCATGCAGGTACCTGTGCGTTTGTGATTGTGTGCGCGCGTCTGGTGGGAGACAGTATAAATCAACAGGAGAGAGAGAAAGAGAGAGAGTATTGCTGAATAAATTATTACCATAACTAATACTTTTCCCCAATAATACAAGCTAAAATACAGACAGACAGTACAACATGAGGCTTAACGTGAAAAAGAATTGCACTAATCTACAACTCACAAACAAACTCCTATTCCCACATGGTTGCTCCTAAAATATGAATCCTGAATTCCAGATGAGGGCAAAAAAAAATCAAATGAATAGTAGCTCTTGATGTCAATTAGGTTAGTCTATGAACAGATTCAACAAATAGGATGGAGCAACGAGCAGATTAGCAAATGTTTTTATCAAAAAGTTGCGCTGCTTTCACTGGCAGAAATTGACGGGCACTCAGATTTCACAGTATGGCTGCCTCTGCTACTGATATCAAGCCCCTGCAATCGGCCAAGAGGATCCTGCTGCATCATCTCTGAGAAAGCATGTGATTGAGGTGTGGCAACCAGGGGTTGATTAGGGGCTACCATGTTAGGTTGAAATGGATGAAACTGTGGCATTTGCATGTTCTGAGCATCAGATTGTACATACTGTGGATGGGGAGAAAAGTAGGAGGGTTGGCTGTATGGGATATGGTGCATTCCCAAAGTATAGCTATCTGTGGGTGTCATAATTTCTCCAGTTGCCATCTTAAGCCTCTCAACTTCCTTCTTTAGTGCTTCATTTAGAGCTGTATATCAAAAATGGTAATACAAGAATCAACAACTTCCCATGGTACGTGTGATGGATGAAAGTGTTGAACATGTAATATAACAGTGATATATCTACAATTCCACATGCAGGTTGGATAATCATTAAGCATATCCAAAAAATATGTCCAAAACCAAACCACTTAATTTTACCTTCATACTGCTGATCAGAGAACATAGGTTGCTCACTTGGCAAGTGAACATATCAACATATTGCTTCACATGCCAGGTAAACACTTTGAAGAAAGATGTTATTTCAGAAAGATAAGACATACCATCACGTAGCTGAGCTTGTTGTTCCATAACTTGTAACCGAAGCTTAAGCTCTGTGTTCTCAGACGATAGGTCTGTTGTATCTCTCTAAAAGAGAACAGAATACCAGTAAGACCATGAACACTTAGTAAATAAAGAAAGATACAACTCATATAATAATGTGGTAGAAAAAAGAAAAAAAAAAAAGAAAAAAAGAAGAAGGTTTTTCTTATGGCACAAGTTAAGAGCACCTTTTTGTCATAAAAGCATATAGAAAAACCCTAATAATAATCCAAAATCAACAGCAACTTCAGAAAATTAGACAATCTTAACTGAAGCATATCGAACCGCATGAAACAATGAAATATGTCCACAAAGCTTTTGATTTTTACAAGAATGACCAAAAAGTTGTTGCTTGATATGTGGATGCACTGACAACCTTAGAATGTAAATCTAATTAAGTTGTCAATTATAAAGATAGAGCATTCCAATAAAAACCTGGAATAGTGTTAGTTGCGCTGAAAGTGTAGTTGCTTCAGTTTGAAGTGTTTGGACTTTTCTCTCAAGTTCAGACATGTAATGTGCTTTTCTCTCTTTTGAGCGAGCAGCAGACTGTCGATTTGCTATGATCCTGCATAGGTTGTGTCCTTTGTCAGAGGGAACTCAAACATGAATCCAAATTGCAACACAAACAGAATACAGCATGACAAAATAAATTATAGTGATGCAGATAGTGTGAACAAAAATCCTGCATGACAGCAAATTTAACTGTTCTATTAACATAGAAGTGCCAAGCATATATTTATCATGTCAATATCATAATGAAATCGATAGTACATCAATGAAAATGCTTATTATTTGTTGCAAATTTAAACTAATACAAATCCACATTACAATGCAACCAAGACCTTAACTTTCTTTCTAAGAAATGGTGGACATGCCATATGCAAAACAAAGGCAAGTTAATTATCGCTAACAGAATTTGAGGAAAAGCAGAACTGCTTTTCTGAAATTGATTGCATTGTAAGACCAAGAATGTCAAAAAGGGAGACAAGAAAGGATTTAGTTTCTTTCTTTAGTCTAAAGAAGAAATGCTTTAGTTAACAATAAAAAATAGCTGTATAAGATACATATATGCTCCCATTCAAAGCTAGATACCGTTAGCAAATTTGAAGCAAATGTTCACTTCATTCGGGCTGCTTGATTTATATCTAAATCTAATTATCTGTAATCAACAATTAAACAGTTGGTTGGTAAGGGAGCATAGAGCATGCAAATGCAATGAATGAACTGCATGTCATGGACTCCAAAGCTACTGGAAGACTCATAAACAAACCAAGTCCTTCCTTGGACTTGAAATGGCATTGCATTCCAAAAAATGCCTTTAAATTTTTTTAAGAATCTGAATTATGCCAAACTCCATTTAGGAATATTATTGATTATGGATACCCTAAACCTCAATTCGAGTTCAACATGTAAATTCAAAATGGCATTGGTTCTAAGAGGCCTAGACTTTTCAACTAAAACACCGAAATGGCAACTAATAGTAATAGATAATACAAAGTCATTTTCAGCATCAAAAAATAAATAATGAAAGTCCAACAGAAACACCTAGATGTTGCCACTTGCCACACCAAGCCAATCAATAAAAATTAACAATAAAGTTGAAAACAGTAGTAGTAACAAAAACACAGATCTTGCATTGCAATTTGCATTGAAACGTGAAAATACAAACACATCCAACTTGTTTACAATTTCCTTAAATATACATATATAAAGTTAATTGCCTACAAATCCACTCATAAAAACATGCTAAAATAATAATAATAATAAACTAAACTGATTAAAAGAAAAAAAGAGACGCGGTGCAGGGCAAACCTCTTTGCCCTCTTTGGATCAACAGTCCATAGCTCGGCCAGCTTATCAGGAGCCATAGCTTTCTTTGCCTCAATGGCTTCCATAATTGAAGAACCATCAATAGAATTGCTGTACCTATGCCTCGGTTTCGTGACATTCTTCTCCCCTGAAACAGAAGCTGTCGCATCGTCGAGTTTGGAGCCCAATTTCTCGACATCCATGTAGGTAGAGAAGAGGTCATCCTCGGATCCAAGGCCTTCCAACGGGTCCGATACGAGATCTAAGTGGTCGGGAATCCGGAACTGCACCTCGGAATGCGCTCGCCTGTGGTGGGATTCGGGTCCCCGAGTGGGCGTGGTCTGAACTTCTTGTTGTTGTTGCTGTTGTTGTTGTTGTTGCTGGAAGTGAGTGGTGAGTTGGCCTGGATTCGCATTGGGATTGGGCGGATCTTGCATTTCCATTATATTGGATCGGAGAAACAGAGATTGTCAAAAACTCAACACTGCTTTCCGTCTCCGTCGCCGTCTCCGTCTCCGGCTGCGTCTGGGTTGAGGCTTTAGCTTGCAAACATCAACATAATGACAGTTTTATTTTATGAATTCACCTCCTTGCCTTGCTTCAGAAATCAAAGGGAGAACCAAACGTCGTCGTATCGAAAAGCAACATTTTTAATATAAATTATCGTAAGCAAGCGAGGTGAGTGTATTTATCATATTTTTTTATTAATTAACATAAAAATATATAAATTAATATTAATTTTAAAAATTATATATTTAATTAAATTTATTTATGGGGGAATGCCTTTATAACTCAGTGGTTATTATTCCTTTATAAATGATTTTCATACCATTTTATAATGTGCTATTTGAATTCTACGCTTAATATTAAAAAAG